AAAAGAAATATATTGTATAAAAGAAATATATGCTATAGATGACATAGATGACATAGAAGACATATATAATTTCTTAGAGATTGACGTCATCCTTTAGATCATCATCATCCATGTCTTCTTTCGTATAACACTATTCTATCTAGTATCACCAAGTGGAATTAAATTAACAAATTTTTAATATTATTCCATTTGTTCATCTCGTAACTTTCTAATAAAATAAGTATGCAATTTTGAAGTAAAATAAGTTGCAATTTTATTAGCATCCTTCGTCACTACTACAAGATTAGTATCAGATTTAAAAATATCCTCTACACATAAATTGACTTGATGTACAAAACATGGGAGATATACAATATTTGGGTTGATAATTTGAAGAACGCGTCTAATAAAATATTTAATTAAAAAATTAATATAAAAATTGTAAAATAATAAAATTTAAGTAATTTTATTAACATATTATATACCGCACACTAGCATACTGTGATGCGCTATCTGTAACAACTGCTGCTACTTTAATACCCGCATCTTGAACATTTTTAGTTAAGATTCAATTTTTTCCTTTACTTCTTCTATTCTGCTTCGTTCAGTACTTATATCATATACTTTTATACAAGAACTTTACCTTTAGATGTAATTAATACACTACCTATTAAATTTTGATTTACTACATTTGTTCATCTGTCGATAGTTAATGTTACACTAATTAAATCAGCCTGTGCCTTTTTTTCAATTGATTTAATTATATCTTTGCTTGCATTTTCTAAAATTTTTCCTCCTAATCGTTTTCTATGTGAAAGCTTTAATATTGGATTAAGAAAATGATACATTTCCTGAGAATCTTTATTTTCAACCTAATGAAAACTCCATCCATTTGAAATAGTTGCTTTAAGTACTAAATACCACTATTTTCGTTCTTGATTTATAGATAATTTTCGTATTGCAAAGTTATCAAGAAGTCCTGCAATTCCCATTTTATTTGATAAAGTAGTATTAGAAGTATAAGTGCTACTGGTAGTATTAGAATTGAATATCATAACACTTTCATTATCTGAATCACATTCATCTTCACTTAATTTTATAATAAAGTTATCATTTATGAAAAAAGTTCTATTACGTTTTTTGCTTGAAATATTTTGAGCTTTAGTTGTTTCACTATCAGTATCCTGAAGAATTTCTAAACCTTTTTCCTCTCCATATATAGCAAAAAAATTCTCACACTTGGATAAATGACTTTTAACACATTTTTTTGTGTTAACTATTTTATTACTATAAGCATATTCACGAGAAACTTTATCGATACATGCTTTACATAAAGCAAATTTGTTACAAGTATTTGCTTTTTCATTAAGAACTTGAATATAAATTGTTAGTCGATGCTTTTTCATATTAAAAGCATACAGATGTACAATAATATTAAAAAAAATTTTTTATTTAATTTTAATTGGCGATTAAAAAAATTTTTTATTTAAAATGTGTTTAATTTTGATTGGCTAAATTTTATATATCAGTCCAGTTCCAATTAACTAAAGTCCACTGGATTGGACGGTCCAGTCCAATATCATTCCACTGGAACAGTCAAGTCCAGTGACCAACACTGATCCCAATTGTTTACCATAGATAAATCGCATCACGGGATTTTGGTGTAAGTTTACAAAACCTTAACTAAAAATGAGAAAACTTTATATATTTGTTTATCACATTAATAAATAAATAATCAAGTGATAAATATAGCATTTATATTCGCTAATATCAAATTTACGAATTTTACGTAAAAAGCAGCTTATGGAATTTTTGCTTAATAAAACAAGTTTTATAATTTAATAAATTTTTTTATTCTGTACCAAAATAAATCAAAAAAAATAAAAAAAAAAATGTTGTACGATTCATGTGATTAAATAAAAGAGTATATTATTAAATTTAGCAATGCATTTTTTGTTTCGCACCCTTATTATTATTATTAAGCGTTAATGGCAATGTAAACGTAGCACATATCAAAACGTATCACAGAAAACAATAAGTAACACAAAATTTCAAAAGTAGATAATCTGATCTCATTTATTTTTTTTACAAACACGATTTCAAAACAAACTTTAAACGGAGAAAAAGAGTAATATTAAAAAGCTTGTCACAATTAAAATAGTGTATTTTATTATTTCAATAGAATAATCAACGTTACAATAAATAAAGCTTGCACAATAAAAGAAATCAAACTTTAAAACACGATAACAAAAAATCAATCAGTTAAAACGTAAATGCGAAGTGTGACACAAAAACAAAAAAACGATTGGACGATCACGCGGCGTGACAGACACACATTGCATCACCCACCCTTCAGCTACGCTTCGAAATAATATAGTAAAATTGAATTACAACACATAAATAAATGACTTTTTAAATGTTTTTCTAAATATTTTCTAAACACACCGGACGCATATAAAATAAATGATTTCTAAATATACCGGCGTCCAAAGGGAGCACTAAACTAATGATGGCTCTTTTCTTTTCTTTCGATTGATATTTAATAATCCACATTTATTTATTGATTACGCACGCGATGTTATTTTGATGGTTGCTTTTTTTCTTTGATTTGTTATTAAATACACCTCGAATGAAAGAGAAAGGGAGAGAGAAATAGAAGTAGTAAAGTGATAGAGGAAATCAATTTTTATAAAGGATCGGGGAAGAATTATATAAATAATAGATCGTGGGAAAAAGTATATTAAAGCTTAAAAGTCAATTGCGTTCCAAATCTAGTTACGCATGGGATGCATATTACGCATTAACATAAAATAAATTTAATAATTTACTTAATACATGCATATCAAAGAAACTACACATAGGTGCATTTTATACGAATTAAATTCTCTATTTTATTTTTGTCAAAAAAATTTTTTAAATCTATTGAGTTTTTTTATGATCTAGATGCTATTTAGGCCATGCAACTTCGATTTTTCGGTTCACGTAACATTGAAATTTAAAAATCGACCCGGAGACCCGGCCGTGTCAGTTTACGAAACTTCAGTATTTTTTTTTTATAGTACTTAATAAACTCGGTCGGCATGCCAGATTTTGTTTAAAAGAAAGCGGATTTACATAGATTTATCTTATTTGTGTTACAGAACATATAAATTACATATGAAAATGAAACCCCCCGCCCCGCGGGGTGACCGTGTCAAATTTAAAATTTTATAAATTTTATCTAAAAATTTAAATTTTTCCGTCATAATGGCTATTATACATGTAAATATAAGTTACAATTCTAAAGTTTTGAAGGATTGGGAAGGTTTATCTGTTGAAAAATAAAAGATTTTTTTTGGAAAAAATTGAAGTTGCATGGCATGGCCTTATGATGATGATATTAACTATTTACAATTAAAAAATTATGCATGTATGAATATAAAAGGAAATTTTTTTTGTACAATCTTAGAAATATGTCTAATCATATGTTCATCTTAAAGGGTAATTTATCTGAATAGACTTAAATGCATATTATGTTTTTTCTTGATCGTTTTGATCATCTCGATATTATTTTTTATAGAGTTCATACGCTTGGAAAAGAAGTTTTTTATTTTTTTGCCGTAATTACCTATAAATAAAATTAAATAGAAAAAATATATATTATTAATGATTTAAATATGATGAGTTATAAATCGTCAATTTTCTCTAATCAATTCAACCAACTTACATTCAAATTCATCCTTGAATTCATAAATTTCAATTCGAATTTCTTCACAATTTTTGAGATAGACAGACGGGCATTTATCATTTCGATTTACGGAATTTTGTGAATTAAAGTCAAGAGACATTTTGTTTATGAACTTTTAATACTTTTTTTTTTTTTTTTTATTAAAAAAAGAAAATTTTCTTTTGATGTTGAAATAATTCAATGCTGAAGAAGATCTTATTTATAAGGTTTTTTTTGGAGTGGCGTAATTAATTATATAATCAATCTCGAAAACGAAGGTTCGTCATTATTTAGAGTACAAAAACAATTAAACAATTGTTTAGGGCCACTAAAGCCACAATTAAAGCTCATGATCGTTTGTTTCTTTTTCTAAGAAATGTAGCACTAAATTGTGTATCACTTATCAATTCAATTTAAAGTACAAATTAGTAAAACGATTCTTCTAGAGAATCTTCTTTAATGCGGGAAAAAATTTGGGCGGGAAACACTGTTGTATAAATGACAAGTGTATCGAAACTCGATAATGCATAATCTGACCGCAACTGTAAAATTTTAATTTAAAGATCAACAATCTTAGATTTGGACTTGATTATGCAAATCATTTAAAATTCCCTTTTATGTCAAGAACTAATCTTATTGGTTTTAAATATTGTACGTAATTTCATGGGGACGGCCGAAATAAATCCGTTTAATATTGGTTTACAAAATTCTTTTGTGAAATTATGAAGTAAATTTTATATTTACGATTCAGGGATCAAATTCAAATCATTTATTCATGCATGCTTGCTATTTATCTCAAACTTCATAGCTATCATTCTAAATATGAAAGATAGTGTCTTTCCATAGCTTATAAGATTTTTTTTTTTTCAAGTGTAGTGTTAAATTGTCTCAATGATCTACAGTAAATTACGAAAATTTGCTTTTAACCGCATTTGTAGTTAACAATGAAAATTTGATGCAGATCATTTTCCAAAAAAGTATGACAAAAAAAGTCTATTCTCGCTGTCCATACACTGCCATTTAGACGTATTCATTTGATCTATTCCGATGACATAATTTTAATTTAAATAAAGTTGTGTAACGATAATAACGATAATTATTTATGTATGATAATTTGGAGTTATTTGCGGCGCAGTAGATTTAAAATTGATTGTATCACAACAAATGTTCTCAAGATTTTGACATTAAATTCTCTGAATCAAATTCAGAAAAAGATGAACAAGTTTCAGATTTCTTCCAATCTGAGTAAAATTTATGAAGGAGAAGGATTTTCTAATTTTACGACCAATTAGTATTAATAATATAAAATTGTATAAAAATTTCTTTGTAATTGCAACTGTCAGTACATAAGTACATACGTATTGGTTTCTAAAAAGAAAAACATGCTCACATTATTATGATTATCACGCATGCTTAATAATAGTTTATATCGTAAACGAGAATGACCAAGATAATAAGTATTTCTACAGATAAATCATTCATTCCTTTAAGTAATTCTATTAACATGGTGTAGAATATTGGATTAAATTTATTAAAAATAAAAATAGGAGTTATTATATAGGATTTCTAATTTTTTATAAATTCAAGCTTTTCTAATGACAATATAATCAAAGTCAAACTCAAAATCTGCAAAATTTAAACAATATAATAACCTTTTAGCTTCTTGTTTAAATATTTTTTTTATAAGTTGGAAATCAATAAATTGCTGACATAGCTGATCGAATAGTAATGCGGTTTTCAAGAGCACCAATTCAGCAATAATCCAAATCCAAAAGTGCTTAAAGGTTATGTTGAAAAGAGTTCTGTTATAATGTAAGATAAAGGTCCAATTCCATTCATTATAAGGCTTGAAGATCAAGGAAAAGTATAGGATATTTGTATATTTAATTTACTAATAATATAATTTATTGATAGGATCATGATGGACTGTTATTTTATGCCAACGGCTATTATTAAATATAATTGCAAATATTTAGACTTTTCATGTAATTGTCTGAAGCGTTAGCGAAGGACTTTACTGTTACATTTGAAACCATGCAAGGTTTGTCTGTCACGCCGCGATTGTAGCCAATGAAATTTTAGGATCAGGTGTAACGATAAAAAATAATTACAATAATTGTAAATATACCAAATGAAATTTTAAGTTCATGTGTAACGCTTACATAAAAAAATTAATGTTTAATAAATAGAAACAAGCCTTTTTCGCTCCGAATATGCCTGATCGGAAGTTATGATATATCGTGGTCTCTCAGATGTTCAGATGTATTTTATCGGGTTTTTTACTTTGTGGTTGGTCCAGAATTCATTAGACCTTTTGGTTTATGTGCCTATACCTTCCGTATTCTGTGAGAACTTCGTCAGTTTTAAGGACGTCAAAATCAAAGGAGAGTATTCTTACTGAGTTCCACGAGATGTATACTTGACCGGTTGAGAACATATTTCATCGATCGTTAGGTGGGTTGCAGTGTTAACCTTGTGATTTGTGTACAGTTAATGCAAAGAATTCTGTATTGGGAATTGGCGTCGCGATCATTGATGTTGAAATATGATGTCATTTTTGTACGTTGATTTTGGTTATTATCTGTCATAGGAAAGGTTATCTTTATATTTTTTGTCTGTGAATTTTTTTACTACTCGATGCTTCCACTGCATATTCCATGTTCGAAGAAATTATTGTTTAAGTACATCATTCGCACACCT